CCTGAGGAGTCCTATGCCTGCAGATAAACAATACCAATAGAAATCTAAATTTGTCAGCTGATTATATTTCTCCAGTAGCATTATACTAAGGAGATTACAGCTGACTATACCAACAGAGGTTGATGTTAGTATCATCATTTGAAGCTGAAGATGACTTCATGAGGCCTCAGTGGCAAATCAGTGAACAGTAGCCTAAAACAGCTACAAGTCACTGCGACCAATGTCACTGAACCCACTGCAGTTTCAGAACCATACTTTACTTTAATGATGAGCTATTCAATCTTCTGAATCAATTAACTAAATTAAACCCTAATAAATCTGATGACTGATTTGATACATTTATTATTTAATCAAGATGTATTCCATGGGCCTCAGTGTTTATATATCAGTGACCAGTTACCTGAAGAAACTTCAAGTTATATCTAATGTCACTGATCTCACTGCAGTCCCTGAATCATACTTGACTGTAGTACTTGATCACATCCAGTCTTCTGGGTTAAATAATATGTAATAAGGCTTGAATATTAGCCTTTCAAGAGTTGACAGGGAAATGAAATCGCATTAGACTCTAACCCCTGCAACTCTAGTACGGGACATCCATCCTGTACGAACAGACACACAAATGTGTGATTACTAACTACTAACATCAAATTAATGTAATAATTCGATGGAGGAGTATCGGTGTTCGTCTGTTCTAAATAGGACTTCGACCCGTGAGCAGCCCCTGGGGAATTATGTCGGAAAATCCGACACCATTTAATAATCATACAGATAATAACTGTATTACCAACAAGTTACCCATAGAAAACGTAACTTGTAGTGGAATTACCGTCTAAAGAAAACGGGATATCATCACCACACACTATTATAATTCACCACCTATTATGGTGGGAATTATTCTTAAATACATTAGTCTTTGGACTTTACCATCATAAAAACATCTTATATAAATTAACTTAATTATCAATATTAAAGTAGAGTAAATTCACTTATTGACATCTGGACAAGTAGGCCAGGGTCAGGGAGGAAGGAGGGTAGCCATTGTTGTGTCACCTCCGAGACGTGTGGAGCAAATTCGGCTCCTATCATTCTGGACAATGTCGGCCAGTAACGTCAATAGTATGGAGTGTTAAACAGCCATTGTATATTGAGACCAGAGGCTCACACAGGAGCAAATTCGGCTCCTGTTAATTTTACTTGGACGTAGTGTTATGGAAACCAGAAGTGTACCATTGTCAACACGCTGTCTACAAATTCAAGTTAAGTGTCTATCCGAAACCCGTTTATCATTCATTTATGGCCATTAATGTCAGGATATAGGGTGACCCGGTTAGAACGCGAAATCGCCTCATACTAAAGGTAATTAAGCCAGGTCTTCAATGTTCCATGTACTGTATAGTGTTTTCTCTGATATAGCTTGTCATATATAGAATCTGGCTTTACAGCTAGCGCCCTTTTGACAGGTCAAGACGAGGATGCAAGATTTTGTGCACCAGTTACTGGGTGATGGAAACTACCTCAAAGAGGATAATTTGGTGTCTACACCCTAGTTATACCTGGTGGACTAACCTGCTGTACTATAAGATAAGGAGCCTTTTCAATGTATGTAGTTACTGTAGTTTGATTGACTGCATATATAAATTTAATAACCCCCCGAATGTGTAGAGGATCGATTTGTGAGATTATGAGATTATTGCAGAAATACAGTCCACTTATCATTATACAAATTGCTATCGAAGTATATAAATTAACGTAAATATAAATTCATATAAATTAAATAAATATAAATCTCACAGGTCGGTTCCCACACAACATAAAGTACATCAAGAAACAGAACAAAACACTTCGCACAGCACCCAACTAGCCAAGAATACCAACAAAAACAACAACTACAGTAACATGAAATCAGTGTACATATTTGCCCGGGAACATATCCGGTGGAAACCGCACATTGAACGCCTCCCAAAGCAGCCACGTTGTCCAGGAGGCGTGACCTAACACCGGCTGCACCATGTGAACCGGAACCTCGGCAACAAAAACCCGCAGACATGGAACCCACACGGTGTCCCTCTGGACGCGAGTAACCGCCACCCTATCCCATACACCCGGAACCCGCCCACCAGAAAAGTCCTCCGGCCATTCAAGCAGCAGGAACTCGGCAACTCGAGCCTCCAGGTCCTCAATGCACAACACCGCAGGAGGGGGCTCGACAGAGGGCTCAACAGAGGGCTCAACAGAGGGCACCACCACAGGGGCACCAGCGGCCACGGGCACACCACCAGACGACTGCAGGGAATCATGGCGGTGCGGATCCTTACGTAACGTCACCACCAGGCCACGCTCAGCACCAGCATCCGCACCATCCCTGGCAGCAGAAGTCACCACACCCCATAGCGGAAAGCCCCTGGGCGGGGAAGAAACAGGAGACACACCTGAGACATGGGCATCAGCACCAGCAGGCACATGAACCTCCGCCACCACCAACCGCGGAGACAACGACTCAGCCGGATCCACGCCGTCAACACTTGAAGACCCACAGTCACTAAAGTCCCCAACATCAGCCCAGGCTGTAGACGAACGCCTGGAACGTTTGGGCTCCGGCCGGATATCGTCAGAGTCGGAAGCAGATCCAGTGACACGAGCACCTCTAGGCGGACGAACCGACGCCCGACGCAGAACGGCAGCAGCCTCTACCACAGGGGGAACCGGACCACACACAGTAGGAGCCTCCGCCGCCACCCCAGCACCCATCACAGGAGGGACCCGAGGGGAGAACGCAGGGCCAGGTTCCACAGCCGAAGACGAGGAAGCCGACGGGGACACTTCACAGGGATCACCAGGAAGGTCCATGGGAACGGCAGGGCCAGAGACATGGTCAGGAGGAACATCCGACGGCACCGCAACACCCGGAGGAGGGTCTGCGACAACCAGGGGAACATCGGGTGACGCTGGGGGAGCCTCAGCAGCGAACGGGACGCTCACCTCCTCACCCCCGGAGTCCTCCTCCAGAGGGAGCGGCGGGAAATCCTCCTCACGGAACAAGTTCACAGGAGCGACCGGATCAGCAGTACACCCGGCAGCCTGATGCCCCAACAGGCCACACCGGAAGCAAGTACGGGGTTGCCGGGCATAAATCACCCGCACGTAGTACCCCAACAGCCGGACAGAGGACGGTATGTCCGACCTCAGTCGCATCCCGAGGGTCCGAATGTTGGTCTTCACACCCGAATACGTGCCAGACGACAGTGAGTTCATCCGCACACTGATGACAGAGCCGTACCTCTGGAAGAATCGCCGGAGGAGAGTCTCAGGAAACTCCATGGGGGCACCATGAACACTGACATACGTCACAGCACCACTACAGTCTGAAATGGTCACAGACCCGGTGCCGTCCTGTAGCTGCAAAGTACGTCCCTCCGTAGGAAAGCACGGTACACCGCCTCACCCACAAACTTGATAATGACATGGTGAGCAGTGACCAGCTCAATGCCATATACGTCCCCAATCGGGACACGAAGCATGTCACTCAATACCACGTCCACCAGCTGGTAACCAGCACGGCCAGTAAACTCCAATCCGATGGAGTTTAACCGCACGACAGCGGGAATAGGGCCGCCCATCACAAAACACGCCACGTCCCCACCACCAGGAACAGCAGGGAGGGCATCTCCAGCAACAAGTTAAATGAGAAATCCAGCTGAGTAATAAATCCAGATTGAATGTAATACAATTAGTATTCGCCGAGATGTTTCATAGCTCTCAGTGGAAAATCAGTGGTCCGTACCTAAACAGGTACGTGTCACAGCAACCAAGCCATTGAATCCACTGCAGACCTAGAATTATTCTCGACAAGTAATAATTGACCACACTCAGTCTCCCTAGGTAATCAATAATATTAGGCTAGAGAATCTAGCACTCCCTAGGTAATCAATAACATTAGGCTAGAGAATCTAGCACTCCCTAGGTAATCAATAATATTAGGCTAGAGAATCTAGCACCCAATGCATCCAGCATTCTTGAATTTATCAATACCACGAAGTTATCAAGCAACTTCTAAACTTATAAATTCACTAGGATCAAGGTCCACAATACCTGCACTTAAGGTTTGCCAAGAAAACTTTATTAAATCAACGTTTTCTGCACTAGGAGTTACTGAAAATACTTGCATTAATTTTGTTTGAGTTGTTTTTCTTTTGTTTCTGCTTATTACTGTAGGAGCACAGCACAAACAAATTTGCAAACTTACCAATATGTAAGTGAATCTACAGAGAACTAATAACCCGTGAAACGTTTAGGTTGGGAAAATGTTACAAATTATCTTCAAATAGGATTAATCATAGCAATAATTAAATTTCCAGCAATCTTAGGTTTCCCATCGTTTAATGCATTACCATTAAACCATAAGCATTGTTACCTAACATGCTTAATGAGCTCAATATAGCTCACCCCTGAGTTAGCCTAACAATTGAGTGCTTTAATGTTCCCTATGCTAATACGAGCACTGCTCGTCATGATAAGTGAACGCTACAATGCTCCCCGTGCTAATTCGAGCACAGCTCACCAGAGAATCTGCCTAGATTCCGTGCTTAGCTATCCTTCAAGAAGGATCTTGCACTAATAACCCGAGCTGACCCCAAAGCTCACCTGTGAATTAACGTAATAATTGAGCGCTTTATTGTTCCCATGTGAATTCAAGCTCAATATTGCTCGCTGTAGTAAAAGTGTTATTACAGTATTGTACCACACTCGTTTGAATGTTTCGTTTGGATGCTCGCTTGACTGTTTTGTTGTTGACAGATCAGCTGTGTCGTGCCTGTGTATAGGTTAGTTGAATGTAACTCCTAGTTTAATTTCTATTTGTTCTAGCATTAGTCATGTGCAGTTTGCTTATTATTATATATAGTTTAAGCACTGTTTATTCATTATAAGTATTGTATATTATATGGCTTGTGTTATTAAAGGATGTAACTGTACTGTAATTATTTCCTCAATAAAGCCACATGTCTGGCAATGCTTTTCCTTTACCTCAATTTATTGAGCAAATCATTCAACCAGTGGACATGGAGCGGTTACTACGGCCCGAGCGGTTTGCTACTGACCCAAACGCCACCAACGCTGCTCAAGAATGGCGTCACTGGCTCAAGACGTTCCAAAACTTCACACTAGCAGTAGAAGAAAATACTCCCACCGTGGACAAGCTGCGTCTCTTAATAAACTACGTTGCTCCACGCGTGTTCGACTACATAGCTGACTGCACTACGTATGATGCTGCTGAAAAATCCCTAACAGAACTGTTTGTGAAGCCCAAGAACGAAGTATTCACAAGGTATGTGCTTGCAACACGACGCCAAGAACCCGGTGAGTCGCTTAACCAGTTTCTTCAGGCATTAAAGTTATTAGCTAAAGATTGCCAGTTCAAAGCAGTGACTGCTGTAGAAGCCTGTGATAACTATGTGAGAGATGCTTTCATTAATGGGCTACGTTCTGCCACAATAAGGCAGCGCTTACTTGAAAATAAAACTTTAGACTTACAGTCAACCTTTGACCAGGCTCACACTCTAGAAACGGCACAGAAACTTTCTGCCTCTTATGCTCAGCCAGGGGCTACAAACGCTGCCTTGGCACTCTCATTAGACTTGGAGGACTCAGGAGGACAAGAAAGTGTAGAAGAAAAAGTTGACACAGTTTCTGCAGCTACAACTAGTGGATTAAAGTGCATCTTTTGTGGTCACACTCGACATCCTCGCAGTCGATGTCCAGCTAGAGAGGCTCTGTGTATGAATTGCAAGAAAAAGGGTCATTATGCTAAGGTCTGCCGATCTCTGAAACAGACTATCAGTGCTTCAAACACCCAACATTACGCTGCTTTGCTCGCTACTTTAGCTGGGACTTCGCCCTCATCCCTCAATAAATCAGTCCTTAGCTCTAAGATCAATGGTATTCCAGTCAGTGCACTGATTGACATTGGTAGCTCTGAGAACTTTATTCATAAGAATATTGCCGAGCAGAGTGGGTTACTCGTCTACCCTGACAATGGGATAGTTTCTATGGCTACTGTATCGTCTCTTCAAAATCCCTAGGTCAGTGTTCTGTAGACTAAGAATTGCAAGGAGAAACTTACCATGGTGTGAACCTCAAAGTGTTACCCGACTTGTGTGCTGATGTGATTTTAGGCCATAACTTTTTACAAAATCTTTCTGTGCTCGAGATGGCTTTTGGAGGAGATAGACCTCCACTTAGAATATGTGGATTAGCTGCCGTCAAAGTTCCGGCTCCATCTCTCTTCAGTAATTTAGCACCAGACTGCAAGCCGATTGCTGTAAAATCCAGATGCTATTCTGAGGCTGACAAGTTGTTTATTGAATCTGAGACCGCTCGGATGCTACGTGAAGCGATAGTTAGACCCAGTCATTCTCCATGGAGAGCCCAGGTATTAGTAACAAAAGGAGAACATCACAAGAAAAGAATGGTTGTAGATTATTCACAAACAAACAACAGATTCACGGGGCTGGATGCCTCCCCCTTACCACATATAGATGAGATTGTGAATAATGTTGCTAGATTTAAAGTATACAGCATGCTAGACTTGAGAAGTGCTTACCATCAGGTGGGTTTAACAGAGTGAGAAAAACCATATACAGCCTTTGAAGCTTGTGGGAAGCTTTTTGAATTTTATTGTATCCCTTTTGGGGTCACTAATGGAGTGGCCAGTTTTCAAAGAGTAATTGATGGCATCCTTGAGAAAGAAGGAGTGGAGGGTACCTTCGCTTACGTAGATGATGTCTGTGTTTGTGGAGATTCTGAGGAAGACCATGTTAAAAATCTGAAACATTTTATGGACGTTGCGAGAAGGTATAACCTGACCCTGAATCTTGAAAAGTGTAGTTTTCGACTCCGGTCTATAAAGCTGTTGGGATATCTTATACAAGAAGGAAAAATTAGACCTAATCCGGAACGCCTCGAGCCACTGTTAAACCTTCCACTGCCAAGTAACACAGGTTCTTTATGCAGAACAATGGGAATGCTTGCACATTACTCCCGTTGGGTGCTGGGTTTTTCTGAGAAGATCCGTCCTTTCTCTCATGCCAATGACTTTTCCTTATCTGCTGCCGCTGCGAAAGCTTTTGAAGGATTGAAACAAGACATTGCTGAGGCAGTGGTTCGAGCAATCGACCCAACAGCTCCTTTCGTTGTGGAAACCGATGCTTCAGATCATGCTATTGTCGCTACCCTAACCCAGAATGAACAATCAGTAGCTTTCTTCTCCCGAACAATTTCAAATAGTGAACAAAGGAACTCATCAGTGGAGAAGGAAGCGTATGCCATTGTGGAAGCCCTAAGGAAGTGGCGACACTATCTCATTGGACGCCATTTTCGGCTTGTGACTGACCAGCGCAGTGTTGCTTTTATGATTAACTTTAAGTCAGCTGGTAAGATTAAAATTGATAAAATTGATAGATGGCGAGTCGAACTCTCCTGTTACCACTATGACATTGTATATCACCCAGGTAAAAAGAACATACCAGCTGATGTATTCTCACGTGTATGTGGTGCCACCAGTGTGTGGATGAATTAAAGGAATTGCATGACAATCTGTGTCAGCCTGGAGTGTCTCGTATGGCTCATTTTGTCCGATGTTGAAATCTGCCTTATTCTGTGGAAGAAGTGAAGAAGATGGCTAATTCTTGCTCTACATGCTCTGACCTTAAACCTCGGTTTTGCAAGTTTGACTCTGGGCATTTGATTAAAGCTACTCAGCCTTTTGAAAGACTCAACATAGATTTTAAAAGACCACTTCCATCACATTCAAGCAATAAATATACTCTTACTGGTATGGATGAATTCTCTAGATTCCCTTTTGCATTCCCTTGTTCAGATATGACTACTGGTACAGTAATTCTGTGCCTGGTGCAATTGTTTGCAATCTTTGGTATGCCTGCATATATACACTCTGATAGGGGAACTTCCTTTATGTCTGAGGAGTTGAAAGATTTTCTACTAAAAAAAGGGGTAGCAACTAACCGTACGACTCCTTATAACCCTAGAGGAAATGACCAGGCTGAGAAGTACAATGGGATTATTTGGAAGACAGTGCTGCTAGCCCTTAGGATGAGAGGCTTAGATGTATCCCAATGAGAAGGTGTTCTTCCTGATGCACTTCACTCTATTCGATCACTGTTGTGCACCTCTACAAATTGTACACCACATGAACGATTCTTCCGGCATACAATTCTTCAGGGCGAACACTACCTACGTGGCTTGCTTGCAGAGGCCCTGTCCTCTTAAAACGTCAGGTGCGGCAAAGCAAAATATATATATATATATATATATATATATATATATATATATATATATATATATATATATATATATATATATATATATATATATATATATATATATATATATATATATATCCCTCTCATATATATATATATATATATATATATATATGGGTTCCAAGGGTTGTTATAGCCGGGGGGAAGGGTTATAGAGATAAGCTCCCACAGCCTGTAAAATGCCCCTGATGGTGTGCGTCTCAAATAGCCTCTGACAACCAAGTCCAGCTCCTGGCCTGCACGTGTGGCTTAGCCTCTAGGCCTGGCGGAACTGCTTCTACCAACAGGAGAAGGGGCGAAGGCGGGTCTCTGGTGCCTTAAAACCAGTAGCTTCGGGCAGATGGGACTCGTTAGCCTGGAAAGGCAGCTCATCTAGGGGAAGGAAAACCCCGAATTCAAACCTCTGCTGTCTTGTGGCTAAACCCACTCATGGGAATGACTTCGGGAGTCGGAGTCCCTAAGGCAGTTTGCAGCTGTTTACAGCTACATTCTGGCAACTCCTGCGACGACACTGGTGCCAAGCGTATCGGCGCCTGCCCTTCCCTTGGATCACATCGGTGGCATGGAGAGGGTGGATCTGCTGCATGGGCAACAGCTGGTCCTCCATAATTACTGCTCAGGCCTGTGCCCTGGAGAGGACACGCCAGCATCGCCTTGGCGATGGCTCAACACGGGAAGTGACAGTTACCGGTGATAAGCCTACCACTCAATTGGTGTAGAGTAAGGCGCCAGGGGTTACTTTCGTCGGTGGGAGAAATCATTCGATTTCATAGGACAGCTACCGCCCGCCTCAAGTTGGGCAGTCCCCAGCCAATAAGGTGCTGTCCCGCCACGGTCCACCTGCTCCACTGGGTGCGTGGGGCTTAGGCCACAATCCAATAAGCGGATCGTCAACCCATGCACCAAGCAAAAGAAAACAAACACAGAGCCACCCAGCTCTCAAACTGGGCACATGGAATGTAAGGACCATGGCACCGGGTCTCTCGGAAGATCTACTGGAAGTGAACGATGCCCGCAAGACAGCTGTGATCAACAATGAACTGCGCAGGCTCCAGATGGACATAGTCGCCCTGCAGGAGACACGTCTGCCCGCAACCGGCAGCATACGGGAGAAGGACTTTACCTTCTTCTGGCAGGTCAAACCACCAGAAGAGGTAAGGGAGCATGGCGTTGGCTTTGCCATCAGGAACAGGTTGTTAGGGTCCATAGTACCGCCAATGGAGGGGTCTGCAAGGATCATCAAACTTCAGCTTCATACAGCAGTAGGAATGATCAGTCTCATCAATGCCTATGCACCAATACTAACCTCCTCTACCGAAGCGAAGGACAAGTTCTATGATGACCTCGGCCTAGCTCTCAGAGACATACCTCAACTAGAGCCAGTCTTCCTCCTAGGAGATTTTAATGCAAGAGTTGGTTCTGATCACAGCTCTTGGCCTTCCTGCCTGGGCCAGTTTGGATTTGGGAAGATGAATGAGAGTGGGCAGCGCCTCCTGGAGTTTTGCTGCAGTCATGATCTCTGCATCACCAATTCCTTCTTCGACACCAAGCCCCAGCATAAGGTTTCCTGGAGACATCCCAGGTCTAAGCATTGGCACCAACTCGACCTGGTGCTTACGGGGCGTAACAATCTGAGAAATGTCAAACTGACCCGCAGCTTCCAGAGCGCAGATTGCGACACAGACCACTCTCTCGTCGTTTGCAGAGTAAAGTTCCAGCCCCGGAAAATCCACAGAGCAAAGAAGGAGGGAAGACCACGCATTAACGTAAACAAGACCCGTGACCTCCACAAGGTAGAGGAATTCATTGCGGCGCTGGTAAATGCCCTTCCTGAACCACCCTGCGATAGTGCAAGTGAGAGGTGGTTACATCTCAGGGGCACTATTTTCAACACTGCCATGTCCACCTTCGGTAAGAGGTAGAACAAGTCAGCAGATTGATTCGAGGCCAGTGCAGAGGAACTTTTACCCCTCGTAGAGGAAAAGAGACGAGCTCTCTCATTCTACAAGAACCTGCCCTCAGAAAGGAACCTACAGGCCCTCCGTACTGCCCGCAGTAGAGTTCAACATACTGCGAGGCGTTGTGCTAACGATTACTGACTTTGACTCTGTTCCAGCATCCAGACTGCGGCCACTGTCAGCAACATAAGAGGCATGTACGAAAGGATCAAACAGGCAACAGGCCCTACACAAAACCGGACGGCTCCTCTAAAGTCAGCCACTGGAGAGATCATTAAAGACCGTGATCAACAGATGAATCGCTGGGTGGAACATTACACCGAACTCTACTCCAGAGAGAACTTGGTCAGCGTAGAGGCTTTGGATGCAATTGAATGCCTGCCCATCATGGAAAAACTTGATCTTGAACCAACTGTGGAAGAAGTTGAGAAAGCAGTGGATTCACTTTCCTTAGGGAAGGCCCCAGGAGACGACGGGATTCCGCCTGAAGTTCTCAAGAGTGCTCGTGGAACACTTAAACCTGAGCTTCATGAACTTCTGTGCCAGTGCTGGAGGGAGGGCTCGGGGCCACAAGACATGAGAGATGCAAACATCATCACTCTCTACAAAAATAAAGGTGACAAGCGATGTAAACAACTATCGCGGCATATCCCTCCTCAGTGTCGTTGGCAAACCCTTTGCTAGGGTCGTTTTGGTCAGGCTTCAGATTCTTGCTGAAAGAGTGTACCCCGAGTCACAGTGTGGTTTCCGAGCAGAGAGGTCGACCACTGACATGGTGTTCTC